CGTGATATATTCAATATTCTTTGCCAGCACCATAGTTCAAAGGCATGAATTCTTCTTCAGTCTTCCTTACTCACTGTCCAGTTATCACATGCATATGAAGCTATTGCATTAGGCATGCCTTAGTCCTCAAAGTGACATCTTTGCTTTTTAACACTTTAAAGATGTCGTTTGCAGCAGATTTGCCCAATGCAATACGTTTTTTGATTTCTTGACTGCTGCTTCCAAGAGCATTGACTGTGGATCTAAGTAAAATGAAATAATTTACAACTTCAGTATTTTCTCAATGTATTGTAATGCTGCTTATTGATTCAGTTGTGAGGATTTTCTGTTTGTTTGTTTTATGCTGAGGTGTAATCCATACTGAAGACTGTGGACTTTGATCTTCATCAGTTACTTCAAGTCCTCTTCACTTTCCAAAAGCAAGGTTGTATCATCTGCATGTCACAGGTTGTTAATGAGTCTTCCTTCAATCCTGATGCAGTGTTCTTCTTCGTACAGTCCAGCTACTTGAATTGTTTGTTCAGCATACAGATTAAATAAATATGGTGAAAGGATACAACCCTGATGCACATCTTTCCTGATTTTAAGCCAAGCAGTATCCTCCTGGTTCTGTTCGAACGACTGCCTCTTGGTCTATGTACAGGTTTCTCATGAGCACAATTAAGTGTTCTGGAATTCCCATTCTTCTAAATGTTATCCGTAATTTGTTATGATCCACACAGTCAAATGCCTTTGCATAGTCGATAAAACACAGGTAATCATCTTTCTGGTAATGTCTGCTTTCAGCCAAGTTCCATCAGACATCGGCAATGACATCTCTCATTCCATGTCCTCTTCTGAATCTGACTTGAATTTCTGGTGGTTCCCTGTCGATGTACTGCTGCAATTGCTTTTGATCTTTAGCAAAATTTTACTTGAATGTGATATTAATGATATTCTTTGATAATTTCTACATCCCATTGGATTACCTTATTTTTTGGAATGGGCACAAATATGGATCGCTTCCAGTTAGTTGACCAGGTAGCTATCTTCCAGATTTCTTGGCATAGATGAGTGCATGCTTCTAGTATTGTATCCATTTGTTGAAATATTTCAATTGGTATTCCATCGATTTCTGCAGCCTTGTTTTTCACCAATGTCTTCAGCAGCTTAGACTTCTTCCTTCAATACCTTTGGTTCTTGATCATATTCTACTTCCTGAAATGGTTGAACATTGACCAATTCTTTTTGGTACGTTACTCTATGTATTCCTTCTATCTTCTTTTGAGGCTTCCTGCATCGTTCAACATTTTGCCCATAGAATCCTTCAATATTGCAACTTGAGGTCTGAATTTTTTCTTCACTTCTTTCAGCTTGAGAAATGCTGAGCATGCTTCCCTTTTGGTTTTCTAACTCCAGGTTTTCGCACATTTCAGTAAAATACTTTGTCTTCTTGACCCTCTCTTTAAAATCTTCTGTTCAGCTCTTTTACTTCGTCATTTTTCCATTCACTTTAGCTACAGTATTTTTATGCAGATAATGCACACCTTCTACTTTTATTTGCCATCTGTGCCCTCCCCCTGCAAGTTATTTTCATAACCACCACTATGCCAATTTTTTTCCACATGTTGCTGTAAAAAAATTAGCATAGTATGCTTACAAAAATACCTCATGGGGGAGGGTGCCGTTGGCAAACAAAGTAGAAGGCTCACATTATTTGCATAAAAGTACAGTACTTTTGATTCAAGGGCAAGTTTCAGAGTCTCTTCTGACATCCATTTTGGTCTTTTGTTTCTTTTCTGTCTTTGTAATGAATGACCTTTTGCTTTCTTCATGTATGATGTCCTTGATGTCATCCAACAACTTGTCTGCTCTTTGGTCATTAGTGTTCAGTACATCAAATCTATTCTTGAGATAATCTCTTTAAAAAAATCCTCACAACTGGATCAATAAGCAATATTTCTTATTAACCTTACGTCTTAGTTATCTAGTCCTGCTATAACAGAAATACAAATGGATGACTTTAACAAAGATAAATTTATTCTCTCACATTCCAGGAGGCTAGAAGTCCAAACTCAGGGTGCCAGCCCCAGGGGAAGCCTTTCTCTCTCTGTCAGTTCTGGGGGAAGGTCCTTGTCATCAATCTTCCCCTGGTCTAGGAGTTTTTCAGAGCAGGGATCTCAGGTCCAAAGGACGCACTCTCCTGGCTCTTCTCACTCTGTGGTAATGAGGTCCCCACCCCCTCAGCTTTGGGCAATGGATCCAGCCCTATCCTGCTGGTGCCCTCGAATGGCAGCCCTACACTCCAGAACTGAGTTGGTGAGAATCTGACTCTTTGAAACTTAGGAGGCTGTGGCTCCACCCTTTGAGACCCCAGAGGTTGTGATCCTACCCTTTAAGACTGAGGCAGCTCTCTTTCTGGTGTTCTTTGTCTCTTCAGCTTCAGCTTCAGCTTCAGCCTCCTCCTTCCTTGGCTTCTCAGCCCCTTGGGCCTCGCTGCCCCTTTCTGTCTTGCGGGGACAAGTGTTCCAAAACTCCTTAGCTCCACTGATAAGTGCCAGGAGACATCCCACTCTGCCAGGATGCCTCCCGCACAAAGGCACTCAGGTCTCTCATTCCATGGGTCAGCTCCAGTGTTGTCTTGTGCTGATCTGCTGGTTCTGCTGCTGCTTCTAGCTGTCTGTGCCATCTCCAGTGTAATGGCTCCCGTAATTTCCTTCTGAGTCCTCAACAGAATTGTCTTTGATGTCCACAATTCCACCAACAGTCTCTTTAATGCAATCTAGGCTTTTACTATTAGGCACTTTGAAATTCTTCCAGCCTCTATGTATTCATAGGTACAAAACCCCTTCTACATTTTAGGTATCTGTTAGAGCAGCATCCTACTCCCAGTACCAAATTCCGTCTGAGTTATCTAGTGCTGCTATAACAGAAATACCACAAGTGGATGGCTTTAACAAAGAGAAATTTATTCTCGCCCAGTCTGGGAGGCTGAAAGTCTGAATTCAGACCTTCGAATCAATTCATAATACATTTGGGAATATTTATCAAAGAAAATTTTTAACACACATACCTTTGATCCAAAAACCCCACTTCTAGGACTCTGACCTATAGAAAGACTCATCTATGAACACCAAGATTCATGGTCAAGAATTGTGTAGAACATCATTGTTTGTAAGAACAAAAAGTCCATCAATAGGGAAATGATTTTAACATTACAGGACATTCATACTATGAAATGCTCTGTAACTGTTAAATAGAATGCTATAGATTCCTATATTTGGGCAGGAATTATCTCCCACACACATTAAGTGAGGGGGAAAGCAAGTTAGAGAACTATTACAAAAATTAAGATTCCCATTTATGTACAAAAAGAAAAACAAGTATGTATAAGTTTATCTAACTATCTATGCACATATATGTGTTTATGGATACTTATATGTGTGTAGATATATATATATATATAAAATGGATAACAATGCAAAGAATGGGAATTCCAGAACACTTAATTGTGCTCGTGAGGAACCTCTACATAGACCAAGAGGCAGTCATTTGAACAGAACAAGGGGATACTGAGTGGTTTAAAATGAGGAAAGGTTTGTGTCAGGTTTGTATCCTTTCGCCGTAATTTTTCAAACTGTATGCTGAGCAAATAATCTGAGAAGCTGGAATATATGAAGAAGAATGTGGCATCAGGATTGGAGGAAGTCTCATTAACAACCTGGGATATGTAGATGAAACAACCTTGCTTTCTGAAAGAGGACTTGAAGCCCTTATTGGTGAAGATCAAAGACGACAGACAGCCTTCAGTATGGATTATACCGCAACATAAAGAAAACAAAAATCCTCACAACTCGACCAGTAAGCAACATCATGATAAACAGAGAAAAGAATGAAGTTGTCAGGATTTCATTTTACTTGGATCCACAATCAATGCCCATGGGAGCAGCAGTCAAGAAATCAAACAGTGTATTACATTGGACAAATTTGCTGCAAAAGACCTCTTTTAAAGTGTTAAAAGGCAAACATGACACTTTAAGCATTAAGATGCACCTGACTCAAGCCATGGTGTTTTCAGTCACCTCGTATGTATGTGAAACTGGACAATGAATAAGGAACACCAAAGACTTGATGCCTTCGAATTATGGTGTTGGTGTAGAATATTGAATATACCATGGACTGCCAGAAGAATGAACGAATCCGTCTTGAAAGAAGTACAGCTAGAATGCTCATTAGAAGCAAGGATGGCAAGACTTTGTCTCACATATTTTGACGTGTTGTCAGGAGGGACCAGTCCCTGAAAAAGGACATCATACTTGGCAAAGTAGAGGGTCAGGGAAAAAGAGGAAGATCTTCTACAAGACGGACTGACACAGTGGCTGCAACAATGGGCTCAAGCATAACAACAATTGTGAGGATGGTGCACGACCAGGCAGTGTTTTGTTCTGTTGTACATGGGGTCACGATGAGCCAGAACTGACTCGACTGTACCTAAAAACAACATACATATAAATGCATAGAAATATTGAAAAGGGCCTGGAAAGGTAAATACTCAATTATTAACAATGATCACCTCTAGGAAAGGTAGTTTTTTAAAACTTTATATATATCCTAATTTGTTTTAATTTCTATGTTATACATCTATGCACACACACATATCATCATCATCATCTGTTCCCATTGAGTCAATTCCAACTGATAGAGCTGCTCCGTAGGGTTTCCAACCCTGTAAATCTTTACAGAAGCAGACTGTGGGTTCGAACTGTCAACCTTTCGGTTAGTAGCTGAGAGCTTAATCACTAAGCCACCAGGGCTCCTTCACACACACACACACACACACACACACACACACACATTTTCTTTTATCTTGGTTGGAATGAGGGACATAGTCTTCATCTAGTCACATTGACAATAAATGATGGATCATATTGGCAGGGAAAATCAATTTATTGATTGATTCATTCATTCAACAAATATTTATTGAATATTTATAAGGTGGTGAGTCTGTGCTAGAAACGATGGTGTCAACAATAATAAGACACAGTTATTCTCCTGGAAGATCTTCCACGAAGGTATACATAGCCTACAAAGAAAAACAAAATTCTGGATTCTGGATTGCATATTTTTTAAAAGGTTATTGGAAATAATGGTTTGTTGATGTTCTTGCAGAAAACAGGCAATGATGAATCAGTAAAAATGAAATCAACAGTGACTCAAGAAATCACCTTAATGGTTTATATCCCTAAGAGTTGAAGATCAGATTCCACCTCCACCTCCCAATATACGCATAAAACCCATTGCCACTGAGTTGATTTTGACTCATGGCAACCCTATAGGACAGAGTAGAACTGCACCATAGGGTTTCCAAGGCTGTAATCTTTAAGGAAAAAGACTGCTACATCTTTCTCCTGTGGAGCAGCCTGTGGGTTTGAACCACCAACCTTCCTGTTAGCAGCCAGGCACTTTAACCACTGTGCTACCAGGGCTCCTTCCCAATATACATCACTCACTTATTCGGCCTGCTAAACTTGTAGTTGAGGCTGGAAATCTCTTTATTGTGAATCACAAAGAGACAGAAGGAGAGACATCAATTATGTCAAGTCTAAATCCAAAATTATCTTCTAAGCCTGTATCAGTGCAGCGATAGGAAAGGCCACAAGATGGCAGAATGGAGTCAAAACATGGAGACTGCAGTGGGATACCAGCAGCCCCAGGAGATTGAATCACTCACAGCTATGCCAAGAGAATAGAGATGTGGGAAGGCTTCAATAGTTCTGTGAGATGGTGGTCTCAGAGCTAAGGACAATTTTGGCACCACTGTTCTCCTTGTCCACATGCCTTTATTGACCTCTCTTAAGGTAGTGTTATATTTAGTCATTTTTGCCCTCTGAAAAAAATATGCTTATCCTCTCCTTCCCGTCCCCCATATGCATGCTTATGCATCAAAGTCAATCATGCTTTTCTGCTTCGGCATTTTTCAGTAGTAGAATTTCTTAAAATGGACAAGGTCTCACCAGATTTGAGGCTGGGCTGCTTCTTCGTATAGGCAGGGGACAGAGGGCAGATTAATAGAGCTCTGGTGGGACAAAGAGGCACCATATATACACGCCACTGAGGAAAGGTCTTTTTCATGCGTGAGGGGACTAGGGTTGAGAAATTATTTCCAATAAGGTTGTATGTGTGTGTGTATGTGTGTGTGTTGGGAGTGGGTTGGTTTTGAAGTAATAGTTTTATTATGATTATAAACAAAAGACATGCTTATTGAAAAAATTTAGGAATTATGTTCGGAAAAAAAAAAAACTATGTATAAAGCCAAAGCTGTAATTTCCTAGGCATTGTATCTATACATCTACATATAGTGAAAAATGAATATATTGAGTAACATATGGAAGTGTAAATTGGAGCAGCTATTCTAGAGACAATCCTGGCAGTATTTAAGCAGATAAAGTATCTACATAATCTATGACCCAGAAATTCCATTTTGGGGTATATATCTCAAATAAATCCTCGCACAGTTCTGTGAGGGGATGTGCATAAAGATTGTGGTGTGCTTTGTAATTCCAGAGAGCTATAAGCAACTTGGGTGTCCATCACGGGGAGAGTGGCTAAGCAAACTGTGGCAGATGTACACTATCATGCACTAAATGGCAAATGGCCAAGTGGCACATACATACTGCAGCAGCATTCATCTGGGACTCCACTCTTGCCCACTTGCTCAGTGCACAGCAATCTGGCATGGCCAGGTATCTGACTCAGGGAAAGGGACCTTGAACCTTGGGCTATAGGGTTTTAAAGCTACATGATTAAGGCACTATTGGCCGCTTTCAAACCCGAATGTCAACAGTGTATTTTGAGGAAGTTGAGATATTTCTAAAATAATTTACACGGAAGTTCAAAGACCCAAGAACAGCCAAACTGCTGCTAAAGAAAAAAAAAAGTGACAGTATTTGTTTGATCACATATCAAGACTTACTGTAAAGCTAGAATAATTAATATCATATTTTATAGGCACAGAAATAGACAAATTGCCTTCCTTCTGAGGCACCTCTGGGTGGATTCGAACCACCAACCTTTTGGTTCATAGCCGAGTGCTTAACCGTTGTCACCTATAGAAACATAATACAGTAAAACCTGTGAAAGTCAGGACTTGTGTAAGGCAGAAACGTGTCAGAAAATGAAAACTCAAATATTTTCCACTAATAGTGATAGAAAAGTGGTAAAACTGCACCCTGTTAAAGGCAGAAAACTTGCAAGACCCAGAAAGACAAGGCAGTCCCATCGAGTTTCGGCTCTCCCAGGTTTCACTGTATGAGGTGAAATAAGCAAGTCACAGAAGATTAGATGTAGTGTAATAAACTCGTTGCTGTCAAGCTGATTCTCACTCATGGTAACTCTATGTGTTACAGAGTAAAACTGCTCCACAGAGTTTTCTTGGCTATGATCTTCTCTTCCACAGAGCCACTAGGTGGGTTCGAACTGCCAACCTTTAGGTTGGTTGTCAAGTGCAAAGCATTTCCCCACACAGGGTCCTTATAACATAATTCTTACGTTTTGATGCTCAAAACCAAGCAAAATCAGATAATATACTGATCCCCAGCCATTGCCATCAAGTCGATTTCGACTCAGCAACCCTGTAGGGCAGAGTAGAACTGTCCCATACAGTTTTCAAGGCTACAAATCTTTACAGAATCAGACTGCCACATCTTTCTCCAGCCGAGCAGCTGGTGGGTTCAAATCACTGACATTTTGGTTAAAAGCTGAGTGCTTTAACCACTGGCAACCAGGACTCCTTAGATTAGGAATAGGAGAGCAAAATCACAGAAAGCATCCAGCTACAATAGGGGCCTGAAGGGACAACTCTTGATCTGCCATCAGATGGTAAGTAAATTTTTCTTCGATTGGAATATACCATATACATACGTTTCAGTGGTTCAAGCCAGCCTGCCATTTTGAGGATAGGTTATGACGTCCTGCCATTTCCTAAAAATCTAATTAGCAACAAGATAATTTTGCCAGCCTACAGAGTTGAACATTCTGGTAGATTTGTACATTACGGTCAAATTCGTGTCTATAATTTACCACTCCTCATGATTTCACAAAACTTGGTGAAAATGCTGAAGGATTCCTGAAGGAAATGTTCTTGTCTTTGAAGATGAGAAAGTTTCAATTCTTATTTTATTTTAGGTACTTAGTCAGTAGATTGATTTCTTATGTGTGACATCTTAGACTTCGCAATTTATGCAAAGTAAATTGTGATCAAAAGCAGCTCAGCTAACTGTATTTTGGTATGATAGTCTCAGACAGCCACATTTGATCCATTTCTTATATCAGGTGTTTCTCTTGAGTGTCAGATCTCTTCAGTAAATACTAAAGAATTAGAGTGTAACTGGAAAGAATGCAGGATTTGGAGTATTAGGATATGGATTCCAATGTAGCTTACTTACTTAACTAAAAACAAAGAACAAAACAAAACAAACGTTGCCGACAATTTGGTTCCAACTCATGGTGACCCGCTGTGTGACAGAGCAGAACTGAGCTCCAGAGGGTTTTCTTTGCTGTAATCTTCATGGAAACAGATTGTCAGAGCTTTCTTCTGTGGTGCCACTGGGTGGGTTCAAACCGCCAACCTTTTTATTAGTAGCTGAGAGCAAACTTTTTGTGCTACCCAGGGATAAATATTTACTTACTAACTAGGTCAAACTGCTTAACCTTTATTCAGTTTACTCATCTGGAAAATGGAGAAAATACTTGTATTAGTCAGGACTATTTTGTTTGCAATTCAATTTAATTTGTTTGCAAACTCAATTCAAGTCAGCATAAAGGACAAATTCACAGACTTCACATTGTTCAAAGTTCAGGAGGCAGCACAACTAGATTCAGAATGTTATAAGTTTCTTTCTCAATGAAGAACACCAAAGACACAAGGAAAATATTAGCCCAAGAGACAGAAGGGGCCACATAAACCAGAGACTCCATCAGCCTGAGACAAGAAGAACTAGATGGTGCCAAGCTACCACCAATAACTGCCCTGACAGGGAACACAACAGAGGGTCCCTGATGGAGCTGTAGAATGATGGGATGCAGAACTCAAATTCTAGTAAAAAGACCAGACTTGATGGTCTGACTGAGACTGGAGAGATCCCAGAAGACATGGCCCCCGGACTGTTTGTTAGCCCAAACTAAAACCATTCCCAAAGCCAACTCTTCAGACAAAGATTAGACTGGACTATAAGACATAAAATGATACTCACAAAGAGTGCGCTTCTTAGCTCAAGTAGATACATGAGTCTAAATGGGCAGCTTCTGTCTGGAGGCAAGATGAGAAGACAGAAAGGGACAGGAGCTGGTTAAATGGACACAGGAAATTCGGAGTGGAAAGGAAGAGTGTGCTGTCACAGTATGGGGAGAGCAACTAGAGTCGCATAACAGTATGTATAAATTTTTGTATGAGAAACTAACTTGAACTGTAAACTTTCATTTAAAGCACAATAAAAAAAAATTCTCTTTCTCCATCTGTCTTCTCTGCCTTTCTCCCTCCTTACCAGACTCTCATCAATTGGTGGGAAAAATTACTTTTGATTGGCCTAGAGTTACATTCTTTCAGCTTGGCAAGCCCAGGAAGGAAAAACAAAGAAAATTCTCTCATCCAACATCTGATTGGCCTTGCTCACCTCTAAGCCAATCACTGCCACCAGAAGGGTGGATTATTATATTTGGCCCATCTGGGATCACATGCTCAGCCCTGAGAGCAAAGGAACTGACATAGTGATTAACAGACTCACTAGGACCGCGTGGATTGGCCAATAGCAGATACCCACTACACATAGGAGTGGTGTATAGACAAAAATATCAACTTCTCACTACAATAATAATTCCTCTTCTAGGATTTTATGAAGACTGAAGATGTGGGGCATGGTTCTCTATATATTGTAAAATACTTAGACATAAAATCTTTGATCAAAAGTGATTTTTTATTTAAAAAATTACATATGAATGAAGGAGAAGAACATATGACCATATGAAAATGAAGCAACTGTTTAAAACAAGTCATTTCTTGTATAAAATGGGGAAAGTGGTCATATATTCTTTACAAAGCAACTTATCTACAAAATGAAGGGAGTAAATTTAATATAGTTTTTTTTTAAGAAATAAAACCCATTATAAAAATCCCAATGTCTTTACATGCCCACAATAAGCTAAATGTCTCATTTTCTATCAAGAACTAAATGTGCTCAGGGGTATAAATGTGTCATGATTGCTTAGCTTAATGGGTGTGAAGTAACTGCACTCTTTTCTAGAGGGAAAATCTTTTCTAAAGATCATTGCAACATTTACAGAATTAGACATATTTTTATAAAATTGGATGGCTGGAAGTTACCTGTGAAGTTCATCAAATCTCTGCCAGTGGCTTTAGAACGACAATCAAAACACTCCAGGGAAATAACTGTCTTGAAATACATTTTGCAAATGCCTTCCTGGGAGTGCCTCTTAGGGGAATCTATGTTTCACACAATAAATCAAACACTACCTTCCTCTTTTTCCTTCAGGTGGCCAGAAAATAACCGTGTTACACTGTAGCTCCTACAGCAGTGGTTCCCAAACCTGGTTACTCATCAGAACCACTTGGGAAACTGTAAAATACAAATTTCCGGGATCCACTCTGTTGTTGTTGTTGTTAGGTGGAGTCGAGTCAGTTCCAACTCATAACCACTCTATGTACAACAGAAAGAAACATTTCCTGGTCTTGCACCAACCTCACAATCATTGTTATGATTCAGTCCGTTGTTGCAGCCACTGTGTCAATACATCTCCTTGACGAACTTCCTCTTTTTCTCTCACCTTCTACTTTACCAAGCATGATATCCTTCTTCAGGAACTGGTCACTTCTGATAACATGTCCAAAGTACTCACCACAAAGTCTCACCATCCTCCCTTCTAAGGAGAATTCTGGCTGTACTTCCTCCAAGACAGATTTGTTCCTTCTTCTGGCAGTCCATGGTGTATACAGTATTCTTCTCCTACACCATAATTCAAAGGCATGAATTCTTCTTCTGTCTTCCTTATTCATTGTCCAGCTTTCACATGCATATGAAGTGATTGAAAACAGCATGGCTTGGGTCAGGCACACTTTAGTCCATAAAGTGAGATCTTTGCTGTTGAACACTTTAAACAGGTCTTTTGCAGCAGATTTGCCCAATGCAATATGTCATTTGATTTCTTGACTACTGCTTCCATAAGCTTTGATTGTGGATCCAAGTAAAATGAAATCCTTTACAAGTTCAACATTTTCTTCGTTTATCATGATGTTGCTTATTGGTCCAATTGTGAGAATTTTTGTTTTCCTTATTGAGGGGCAATGCATACTGAAGGCTGTAGTCTTTAATCTTCATCAGGAAGTATTTCAAGTGCCCTTCACTTTCAGCAAGCAAGGTTGTGTCATCTGCATATCACAGGTTGTTAATGAGTCTTCCTCGAATCATGATGCTGTGTTCTTCTTCATATAGTCCAGATCCTCAGATTATTTGCTCAGCATACAGATTGAATAAGTATGGTGAAAGGATACAACCCTGATGCACACCTTTCCTGACTTTAAACCACACTGTATCTCCTTGTTCTGTCCTAACGACTGCCTCTTGGTCTATGTACAGGTTCCTCATGGACACAATTAAGTGTTCTGGAATTCCCATTCTTCTAAATGTTATCCGTAATTTGTTATGATTCACATAGTCCAATGCCTTTGTATAGTCAATAAAACACAGGTAAACATCATTCTGGTATTCTCTGCTTTCAGCCAAGATCCATCTAAGATTAGCAATGATAGCCCTCATTCCATGTCCTCTTCTGAATCTGGCTTGAATTTCTGGCAGTTCCCTGTCGATGTACTGCTGCAATTGCTTTTGGTCTTTAGCAAAATTTTACGTGAGTGTGATATTAATGATATTCTTTGATAATTTCTACATCCCATTGGATTACCTTTTTTTTTGGAATGGGCACAAATATGGATCTTTTCCAGTTGGTTGACCAGGTAGCTATCTTCCAGATTTCTTGGCATAGATGAGTGCATGCTTCTAGCATTGTATCCATTTGTTGAAATATTTCAATTGGTATTCCATCGATTTCTGGAGCCTTGTTTTTCGCCAATGTCTTCAGCAGCTTAGACTTCTTCCTTCAGTACCTTTGGTTCTTGATCATATGCTACTTCCTGAAATGGTTGAACACTGACCAATTCTTTTTGGCACATTACTCTATGTATTCCTTCTATCTTCTTTTGAGGCTTCCTGCATCATTCAACATTTTGCCCATAGAATCCTTCAATATTGCAACTCGAGGCCTGAATTTTTTCTTCACTTCTTTCAGCTTGAGAAATGCTGAGCATGTTCTTCCCTTTTGGTTTTCTAACTCCAGGTTTTCGCACATTTCACTAAAATACTTTGTCTTCTTGACCCTCTCTTTGAAATCTTCTCTTCAGCTCTTTTACTTCATCATTTCTTCCATTCACTTTAGCTTCTCTACATTCAAGAGCACGTTTCAGAGTCTCTTCTGACAACCATTTTGAGCTTTTCTTTCTTTCTTGTCTTTTTAATGACCTTTTGCTTTCTTCATATATGATGTCCTTGATGTCATTGCATAACTCATCTGGTCTTTGGTCATTAGTGTTCAATACATCAAATCTATTCTTGAGATGATCTCTAAATTCAGGTGGGATATACTCAAGGTCATATTTTGGCTCTTGTGAACTTGCTCCAATTTTCTTCAGCTTCAACTTGAACTTGCATATGAGCAATTGATGGTCTGTTCCACTATCGGCCCCTGTCCTTGTCCTGACTAATGATATTGAGCTTCTCCATGGTCTGTTTCCGCAGATGCAGTCAATTCGATTCCTGTGTATTCCATCTGGCAAAGTTCACATGTATAGTCGCCATTTATGTTGTTGAAAAAAGGTATTTGCAATGAAAAGTCATTGCCCTCGAAAAATTCTATCATGGGATCTCCAGTGTCATTTCTATCACCAAGGCCATATTTTCCAACTACTGATCCTTCTTCTTTGTTTAGTGTTTGGTGCATAATTTGAATAATTGTCATATTAACTGGTCTTCCTTGTAGACTTATGGATATTTTTCTATCACTGGCAGAGTTGTACTTCAGGACAGATCTTGAAACGTTCCTTTTTGACAATGAATGAAACACCATTCCTCTTCAATTTATCATTCCCGGCAGAGTAGACCATGTGATTGTCTGATTCAAAATGACCAATACCAGTCCATTTCAGCTCACTAATGCCTAAGATATTGATGTTTATGTGTTCTATTTCATTTTTGATGATTTCCAATTTTCCTACATTCATACTTCATATGTTCCATGTTCTGATTATTAATGGATGTTTGCAACTATTTCTTCTCATTTTGAGTCATATCACATCAGCAAATGAAGGTCCAGAAAGCTCGACTCCATCCACATCATTAAGGTCAAATCCACTTTGAAGCGGCTGCTCCTTCCCAGTGGTATTTGAATGCCTTCAAACTGGATCGGCTCACCTTCTGGCACTATATCAAATAATGCTCCCCTGCTATTCATAAGGTTTTCACTGAATGATTTTTTCAGAAGTAGACAGCCAGGTCCTTCTTCCTAGTTTGTCTTAGTCTAGAAGCTCTGCTGAAACCTGTCCACCATGGGTGACCCTGCTGGTATTTGAGATATCAGTGGCATAGCTTCCAGCATGACAGCAACATGCAAGCCCCACATACGACAAACTGACAGGTGGTTGGTACTCACTCTAGTAGTGAATCAGGGCCCAAGTATTGGTATTTTTTAAAAGATTTTTCCAGGAGTCCTTATGTAGCCACTTTCATCCATGCACTGGTTCTGGGGAATTACAGCGGTCAAGATTAAGAAGATATTTAATCATGACTCTTACTGAAATGCCTTTGACAAGAGAAAAGGGTCTACTATTGCATCAGGTACTGAGGGAGAAGCAAGCAAGGTACTTTAACTTTCAAAACTCTAACTGTATGAAGGAAGTTTTTGACTCTTCACATTTTCTAAATTTACTTTCTGAATATTGATGGTAATATTCAGAATACTGATTATTAGAATATTGATATTTTCGTCCAGTTCTAAATTATCTGTTGGCAGAGGCAGCAAGTTCCCTATTACTTGCTCTGGATATTGGAAAGTGCTAGACAAAGAGATGAGATTTTGTGGAGAAGGAGAAAGAACAAGTAGACAAGCTTCCTTCATTTCGTATTAGAGAGGATTTTCTGAATTTATTAAGAGCAGTGCCATTCTTTCTGAAAAGGTTATCAGTTCACATCCAAGTGATAAACTATTATGCAGTTATTAAAAGCATGCTTGTGAAGAATTTTAATTAGATCAGGCTGTATAAAATGTCTTGCACCTGCTCTTTTCTTTTTGAATTAAGTCATAAGCATTCTCCATGCAGTTATAATACTTCATAAATATGTCGGCATGTGCATAGCATATATGTATTTACATACACATAATATGTAAATAAATGTATCAAAATATTAGCCCCATGGCCTCTCAATGGTGAGATTATAAATGATTTTAACTTTATTCTTTTTTTATTTTCAACTTTTTCCAAAAATACACATAAATTAAATAATCAGAAAAAATACACACTTTAAAAACAGTAATAGGTTTTGCACTTTACTTAAGGCTATTGAAACAAAGAAAGCATACTCTGAATTATACATAGAAAAATAAAGAATAAACTTTATCCTAATAGAGAAAGTTTCCAGAAGAAATCAAGGAGGGTCTTTCTTTTATCTGTTTGTAACTAGAATTTATCCTGGTTGAATCAGCCTTCATATTACTCTTTTTTAGTAATTTTCTAAATGAATATATTACCTTTATAAGCAGGAAACACTATTTAAAAAACTATAATGCTTTAACATTTTTTTAAAAATTTAAAAATTAAAATATTAAATGTTTATTTTTTTTTAATGTTTCTAAATGGATATTTTACTTTTATAAGCAGGAAAATGCTATTTAAAACCTGTAAAACCCAACCTTTGCATTAAAGGAACTGTTTTACACTGAATTACTGTCTGTTACTGGGGATACAAAATAGAGCTGCCTTTTGCTCTGACTTTCTTATTGTGTGTTTGGGATATCTTTATATTTCACTTTTTCTTTATCATGTGTTACCTCTCTTTAGGATCTTATCACAGTTTTACTGGGGTATGCTTCAGAATACAAATCTGAGCCCTACCCTCAAGATTATCAACTCTAATCCAATAGTCTCCTAAGAGGTTGCCTTCCTACCCCATCATTTTCATGGGAGGTTAAGAGGTAGGTCTTGCTCCTGGTGACCAACCAGCCACCTCAACATACCTACTTGTGGCACACCCAATGAGCTAATTGCTTAGAGTCTACCATTTAAAACTCTTCA